ATTATTGAAAGCTTTAAACAACAACTATATATATTGAGTGCTTACAACTTTTCTGCTCTATATCATGTGACTTTATATTATCATGAAATAAGAAGTGAACTCACCCTTCAGGTTTCTAGGTCACTGTTGTTTCATGGCCATCAATATGATCCATCCAGATATCAACAGGAATCAAACTTCCCTCCTGACCAGATTCTATGGGGAAGAGAGACATAAGAGGTAAGTATCACCCCTGAGTCTCTCTGACCTCATGGTCCATGAAGAAATGCAAATGATTCACCACTCAGCTACAGAGGAACAGTAACCTCCTGGACTCCATATTCCTTACACCAAACCCATTAAATAAGGTGTGCTTTGTGAACTTTTCTAGATTTCAATAAATTATTACTCCCTCAGTGCTTGTGTTTTTTCTCAACCCTACTGTCATGTTGTCTTTATCAGTCCTTGTTGAAAATGTTGAATGCTGTTGGGTTGAAACACACGGGAAGCACTAACTGAAATTATTGGTTTTGAAGGATAAATAAGTAAATTATGATAGAAGGAAGATGTGAAGTTTAAATTCAGATTGGTGGAGCGATGGTGGATATGATAAAGCTCTATTTGATACATATATGAAAATTTCAAAGAATAAGTCAAATGAAATTAAAATATAGTAAGTCTCAGACAATCTTTTAATTAATTTCACTTTTTATTTATGATAGGATGTCAGAAATCTACAATCCTCATAGTGTAGCTGTAGAAGCTGATGGGCTTTTAAGCAAGCACATGTTTAATACCCAGGCATAATTACATTTAGACAGGTCTATTGCTACTTTTAAATCTCTGTCAACAACACTTCATTATTATTAGTGTAACTAACTAGTCATTTCCTTTGACTTCCCACTTTAGAGAAACAGTTATGAGAGCTTAGCAAAATATTAACAAAATATTAAAGCAAGTTTATATTTAAATTTAAATTAATCTTAAAATGTTTCTGTTAAAAAGTCATCTGATAATTGAACTATTAAAATGGAATATTACTTTAACTACTGGAGTAAGAAAGCTTGAGCCTTTATCTGGCTGTCCAGGACTTCATCCTGGCAACATACAAGAAAATCTCCATTTCTGCCTGGAGCCTTCTGATTGTGACTATAGGTTGTCAAATATAGCCTGCTGTTGATTCTTTCCAATCCTCCCATGTCTGTTTCATTGAATGTTGTGATTATATGATGATCCATCACACTATATGGTGTCTTCATGTCTACTATAGCTCAGTAAAGACAAACTGTTTGATTATCTATAGAAAAGGTGGGTCCTAACCCTGGTCAAGAAATAAATCCAAATATCACGGACTAAATTCTTGTTTCATGGTGGTAAAAAATAATTTAAGAGTTACATATTTAAAAGAAAAATTGTCAAAATCTACTCATACTTTAACCATTTCTTGGTGGGAAATAAAGGTGTATTATTTTCATTGTGTGGAGCACATAGCCTGCTTGTCCATGGGAATGAGAGGAGGACTCCTGGAATTGTTTCTTAAGTAACTTAATCCTTTCAAAACTATTTTATATTAATATACACACATAATATTTCTTGGGAAATTCCACTGTCAATTTCCTAGACTTTCATTCTTCACAAATATCTACTAATGATCCATTTTAATTTCATAGTCTTGCTTCTTTAATAGACACTCAGTCCATTCAGTGCTGTCTTTGTGTAGATAGATGAGTGACCACCTATTAGAGCATAAATAGCCTGTCATGGCAAGTATCTCTGAATAAACTTATTCTCCTCCTGCAGTCAATCAAATTCCACTTGCTTATAGGATGTGTTTAGCTTCAGCAATATGCTCCTGATTTTGCTGAGGTTTTGATGGCTTATTTTAGTTTGAGAAATTGTGCATGTAGCTCCAGCTATTGGGAGTTTATGTGTTCAAATGTGTTGAAATGTCCAGCAAACACTGTTTCAGCATGAAAGTCTACTATCTCTTGATTTTTTGAATAACATTTAACACTGGGCTGAATTTCACCATGTTATCAGGCTGGCTGGCCAGCAAGATTCAAAGGTCCTTCTGTCTCTAAACCTGAAGTTCCAGGATGGCTTGCAAACACCACTATGCCTCTTTTTAATAAGAATCTAGAAATAAACCACATGTGATCATAACTGTAAGTCACGCACATAGATGACTGAGCACTCTCACCAGCCCTGCATTTTTTAATCTAAAATAATCGGATTAAAAAATCCTCCCTTCTACTTCCAACAGGTAACTAACTAATTTTCTTCCACCCTGTTTTCTGAGATGCTCCTCTAGTGTTAATTTTAGTTCTTTTGGGTACAGAACTGAAATCTTAGGAAAGGGAAATGTGTCTGTGCTGCTCCCTTGTGAACTACACACATGTATGGAACAAGAGCAACATGGATTGCTCACTTGTATATTCCTTCTCACACATTATCCAAGGCTTCTCAAATTCCTTGTTTACATTCATTCAAATTTCCAACAATCTTCAACTTTCTTTCATTTGTAAAGCAGTGATATATGTGAACAGGTTTCTAGTGTTCAACAGGAATGCCACTGCGCTTTGCATAGAGTTTGTCAATATGATTAGTTGGGAAAATTAATACAGTTTGAAGTAATGTAAGTAGGTCTCCGAAATTATAAAACATAGCACAATTATAACTACTATAATGAAATAAGTATATACTAGGGATCCCTTCACTTGCCCCCCTACTCTAATTCATCCCATTGTGACTGTAATATTTTCCAATGTCCCTGCACTTCTACTGGCATGTCATTCCTTTCCTTCTTTACATCTTATCACTCTATCTTTCTGCTTTCTTGCTTGCCTTTTTATTTATTCCAACTTTCTCTGCCCCTTGCCTTCATTGTTTTGTATTTTACAAATATGGTAATGAAAATTCAAAGGACCTCTCTCTATACACACACACACACACACACACACACACACACACACACACACACACATATATATATATATATATATATATATATATATGGAGAGAGAGAAAGAGAGAGAGAGAGAGATATCTATGGAGGTGTGTGTGTGTGTGTGTATGTGTGTGTGTGTGTGTGTGTATGAACTTTTCTCATCTGAACTGGCCATGCTGCTTCCACCAAACAACCCCCCCCAAAACAATGTATAAAAGCATCATTTGTGTTGCCATTCAGGTCTGTCCAAGAGACTCCCAAAACTTATAGACTATTTTAATGCCTATAATTGGCACCCAAAGTTTAAAAGTAAGTAGCTACTGTTGAAGAAAACATAAACTTCAGATACAGGGCCTAGAGGTCCCTAAGGTGAAACTGGCTTGAATGTCTCCTCTCTGAGGTCTAGCTTTCATGACACTAGAAAATGACATGCAACCTTTTAAAGGAAGGACACAATCAGCTGTGACATCTAAAACCACAACAACTACCAGCATGGCACAATAAAACTAAGAGTCCAGGAACAACTTTAACATTAACCACACCTATTTAGCAGTGACCAAAAGCTCTTTAATTGGACTTAAGGCACACTCAGCTTGAAGAAATTGGTGCTCAGTACTGGGACTACTGAGTACTAATAAAGTCATTACTCTTAGAGGAAAAACTATGAAAATTTATAACTTTAATACACAAGCATAATCCCTAACATCAATCTACATTTTTCCTTATACCTACCTATATGTGAACTTTCAACCATCAAGAAGTAAACTTCTCTGTGAAACAGTGGGAGACCAATCAAAATGGAAACTTGTGAAACATAGCCACATTGTATAAATCTGCAAAATATTACTTCACCTAAGGCTTTGGGAGCATTATAGTAGAAATCTCAGAAAGACTGAAAGAGCAAAAGGAACATGGAAATTGCTGTAAGATATCACAACTGCAATAAAAGACAATACTGTTATTGTGACCAACAGGAATAATATGTGAAGACCATCCAAGATTATCTGTAATACACAACAATGAAGAAAAGAAAAAAATCAGAACATGTTATGGAAATGAAACACATGAATGGGTGGTTAAAATATTCTGACCTGATTTTAACATTACACACAAAAATATAAATATTACATATGTGTGAATATATACAGACAACCTAATACAGTACTTAATTTATGACATGCATATTGACCCTAGAAAAAGGTACCAAAAATGCCCCATCATTATGTTCCTGTTGAGGGATATCTTTCAAAACTATGTCTAAATGCTATGAGCATTCCTCTTCCTTACAGGTGTGAATGTCTCATTTGAGAGGAAATGGCTATGAAAAGAAATATTCTTCATAGGTGATATGAGATATGAAGTTACAGAAGACTTAAGAGAATCAATGGTGATCTAGTTTACTATTTTTCCTTTTCCTCTAGATCTTAGCTCATATTTAGAAAGAGACAAGGCAGTGCAGGTATGCTGATATGTTGTTAGGTCTGAATAAAATAATAATGTGTATATGCTACAAACTTAATTTAGTTTAATACAAATCAAAAACTCAGTTATTTGGGAAATATGACTATATTTCCAAAATGTGTCATTGACATAATTGTCAACCCTCTTATATTGTGAAAATATGTATGCATTTCCATCCATGAGTTCACATTTCATGAGTAAAGAAATGGAGTCCCAGATATTACATTAGGCTCTATATTGATTAAACATGTACCAATGAAATGAAAGGGTATGGAAACAGAGTCCTAATTCAGGGATCTATTTGCAATTTACATCTGTTGGGAAAGAGAAAATCAGATTTCTCAAATGGGGTCACTGAGAATATCAACAACAGTCCAGGGCTGACTCCATGCCCAGGGACTATAGGGCAACATAAAATCGAATTCTTTTTTTGTTCATTTCTTGCTTATTTTTGTGTGTGTGTTGTTAGGGTATTTATTATGCTGTTAGTTTTTCTGTTTGTTTTCATAGAAAAGGAGAACTAAAGAGAAAGACAGGAGAGAACATTAAAATGGGTAGATAATGAGATAGGAAGGATCAGGATGGAATAGGGAGAAGGAAAATTTTAATTAAAATATAATGTATGAAAATATTAATAATTGGTAAAATTTATAATATATGCAAACAACTTAGATGCTATGCATGGAATATTTACTGGAAAAGGATAAAGAAAAATCACTAGTAGCTGAGTAAGCATGCTGGAGTTTCAACCTTGTAAGGAACTAGACAAAAGGAAACAAATTCTGTACTACACTGGTATTATGAAACACCACTGTAAATTTTTTTTTTTTTTTTGGTTTTTCGAGACAGGGTTTCTCTGCATAGCTTTGCGCCTTTCCTGGAGCTCACTTGGTAGCCCAGGCTGGCCTCGAACTCACAGAGATCCGCCTGGCTCTTCCTCCCAAGTGCTGGGATTAAAGGCGTGCGCCACCACCGCCCGGCCACCACTGTAAATTTAATTGTGCATAATGCTGCCTTGTTCAATATGTTCTGTTCAGGCTCAGGAACAGCGATCATGCAGATCACATTGTCTTCTTTCAAAACAGAAAACAATGCATACAGTCTTAGAAACATGAAAGAACTCTTGTTTCTCAATTAAAACAGTGAATGAAAATCTTTTGCTCAAGATTTACATTGCTGACTCCCCATGGTAGGCCTTACATTTTCGGAGGAGCAAATGGGTAATGGTTTGGGGGATACTCTGGGTGGTGTGAGGAGGCAAGAAAGGGGGATCTGTGGAATGTATGTAAAATGAATAAAAACTTTTCTTAATAAAAAGATATTTAGAATGCTGATTAAAATGGGATGCATTAATTTTCCCCAAAAAAGCTGATGAAAATACAAATCTAGTTTTTATAGTTTTGACATATGATTTGCTAGATTCTTGAATCTATGCATTCTACTGCAACCAGACTGTGCAAGGTGTTTGTTCATAACTTATTCTCAGGCAGGATTAATATAATGACCTATTGGTAACAATTTGGTATCTGAAAACCCTTTGTAAATGTGTCTCCTAGGTAGGTTTCTACAGAGTTGCAGCAGTTCATACATCTCATGCTATCAATTAGAGGTAACTGTGATTCAACTGGAAGCGTATCACTATGTCCTCTGTACCCATGATGTCACAGTAGGGTTGGTTTGTGTAAGATTTAAGGTCTCTAACCTTATTTCCTGGCTGGCCCCATTTATGTGATTTCACTCTGTAATGAAGGTAACATCACATGTGTTTCTGTGTAGAATCTGCAGAGGCAAAAAAATTCATACTGTAATCATAATGATATATGATA